TGCGCATTACTTCAATGCTCTGAGAAAAAAACGGTACTTTAAAAGAAAAAAAAAAAACAATTCTAACGAGTACATTGAGTGCATTATTGAACTATTAGATTAACGGGTGGTCAGAATGGTTGTACTGTAATGTGTTCGCATCGTATTGTTTGCTATGCGATATGCAAATAGTAATCCAAAAAGTATTATCGTTATCAGAGTTCGAAAGAGTTCAAAAATAGGCTCACTAATTGATTTCTAGGTCACATGTAATTTTATAGGCTGCTAGAATCACGAATAATTACTGATAACTGCTTGGCGCAATTTGTTTCTTCTATTAGCTAATGGCGAAAGTAATGTTGAAGTTATAGGAAATAATTTTTCGGCTCTTATTATCATATCGCTTCATATGCAATCAGGGATGATTTCATACTTTAACACCATTTGAAGGCCTTGGTTTTTTTTATTAAGTATGAGTAGTGATGAAGGGTGAAGCAATCTTTTAGATATTGGCCGATGACCTTGCAATGAGACCTCCAGGATGAAATGTTATCACATCAGTGGTACCCACTGAATTGATGAAAAAGTGAGATAATGTATTTCCAGCTGTTATCTCTACAAAAAAGAAAAAATTTGAATTAAATATTATTATTTTTTGAACTCAAAAAAAGAAAAGAAATTGCTGTTAGAAATTAACAACAGTGAAAGAAAAAAGAAATTATTATTAAGAATTAAACTAGAAATTAATAGCATTTAGAAAAAATAATTTAGCATAGCTATCTAACTATGGCAAATTTTTTAATTAAATAAAGAAAAAAGAATTTCACGAAATTAAAAATGAATTTATCAACATTTATTTATAGAAACCTTTGGGGACCAACAAGGCTTCATTTATAAATTTGACCAAACATCGGTGTCATTTGTTAGTCCAACTTTTCACTATGGCTTATCTACTACAATCCATTCAACTACGACAATAATGTCTTCAGGGAAAAATAAAACTAAAGATGGAATTTGTTAATATTCGAGTTACGATTCCTTTTATTCGTGAAATTTTAAAATAAGTTAATATTATTAATGCTAGTGTAATTTAATGTAATGACTGTATTGCATATTTTCACTTTTGAGGCCAAGTTGAACTTTGCCTCATTATAAGGCTATATTATCCATTGGTTTCAAATGAATTACAGAATAGTTTCATGGATTATATCCTTGAATTTTACCTTCTGATAGATACAATGTACTTCCCATTCAACAAAATGACTCTTCAAGGACAATAGTAGTATTGATGAAAGCATGCATGCATATATGCATGCATGCATTGTTTGCACCGCAATTTGTTCTTACCTTCATAGGACAAATGTTCAGTGTACTTACTTTATGTCTATACTACTGTCTGCAGCTACTATGCGCGATGTTATTCATGTCTTTAACCTTTTGTTAACTATGAAAAATAAATGATAATACTTAGAAATGAAACAAACACTGATGAACTTTCACCTTTACATTATCCGTCCCTTAAGAAACGAGCAAATACATTTTCCCTATGTATTTAAATTGTAATATAAATGATATATGACAATATTCACGTATTATGCGTAAGCTTACGCATTACACTTAAGCTTATCGAATTACTTTGTTCCATACATTTGCGTGCATAAATCTTCTTACTAACTTTTGGTCAGGAATGGTGAAACTTAGTAACGTTAGCTGCTATCAGGATTGCTTCGAAATTAATGAATTCAATCGTTAATTTTTGTTAATCATTTTTCTGTCAGGAATGCTCAATTATCCAATCCTTTATAATATAACAATTTAGTTATCATTTCATGTCACTTTTCTGTTTCTCAATTTTCAATTTGCTTTGAATGAACCGATCTGAAGAAGATGTGTCATAGAGATTTACATGGAAGATAAATTTTTAAAGATCTATATATTATCATTTCTGCTGAAGACTTCAAAATGAGCTTATGCCAATTTAGGATCGAAACTTAAAATATTTCCATTTCAAGATAAAAGTACGGGTAAAGTTTTCTTTTCTTTTGTATTACTATTAAATCATTAAATTAGTCTTTGTTTATTTGATAAAGTTTTAAATTTAATTGAAACAATGAAAATAGAAATAAATTTAGAAATAAAAGGTAACAGATATAGCTGTCGTTTGCACGTAACAGTCTCACTTGAATGAGTATATATATCACACTATTCTCTCAATTTTACTAAACTTTTTCAACGAAATATTCAATTATAGGCTGTATATGAACGATGGATCGTTGTTATTTATCGTTCTCTCTCTGAATGATCATTGTCATGTACGGTAAAAATCCTACAGAAAGAATTTACACAGCCTTTCCAGCTTCTGAACATATCTTTTAGTGATTTTGAGTGATTAGAAAGGCATTTTTACACTAAATAAAGATTGGAAGTTGTCAAATGATCTCTGTCCTGACAAGAGACATTTATGGCGGGGAATTCGCAAATGACAGTATTCAAAGTGACTATCGTTCATTCATTCTAATTCACACCTTCCATCAATTTCAGTTGTCTACTTTCTCCCTCATTTCAGCATTTACTGAGAAAATAGGAGCAAGTAAATTCGCATCGTTGAATTGAAATCCAATTCAGACATTTACACATTTTTATGTTTCTCAAAATGTAAATCACTTCAAATTAAAATCAGAAAGTTTTTATATCTTTGAAATATTTTGATATGAATGCTGTAAAGTAGACATTTGCAATCCTTGTTTTCAAACTAGGTTGCCTAAAATACCGATTTCCAACCTAATGTTTTACTTCAAGTCAATAGTTCACGTTGATTTAAGGGGGCTGATTGCTGCATGATACATATCAATCAAATCTATTGTACAATTGAACTATATTAATGTTGAATTTTACTCATTGATAGAATTCCTAAATTAATTTAATAAATAACAAATTTTTAGGAAATCCACAGTATTAAGTAAATTGTTTGATTCATTTTATACTCTAACGCACATTTAGATTCATTTCGACTAAATCGATTCAAACAAAAGGATAGTCTTTTTTTTTTTTTTTTTGAATTAACAATGATCAACTTACTACATTCATATCTTAACCATTCGTCCTTGTAAACTTCACTTTACTATTTCATCCTTTCTCAAATTATAAATTTCATTCATTCTCGCATTTTAAATGAATCACAACAATTTCTTACATTTTTTTAAAATAACTTTCTACTGTTTTCTTTTTAGTTTTACTTCTTACTAATAGATCTGTAAAAACTGAAATATCTTGCGATTACAAGAAAACATGAATACGAGTAGTAATATTTAGTCGAAATTTAGGTTATCTAAAACATAAAATCAATTTTTTGTGTTTTAATGAAGCGATCAAAAGAACTGTATTCGATTTCAGAATTATTAGAAAATAATTGCGTTTGAACTTTCAAGACAATTATTCACACTTCTTCATAAGAAATTTATTTCTAAAATAGAACTATCAAAGGGAATTTTTGACATAATTATACTATTTCCTCATAACTTGAAGAAAAAGTTATGAGGAAATAGTATAATTATGTCAAAAATCTCCCAATATTCGGATCAAGATACTGATAAATTAAAAGTGATTTTTTAAAAAAAAGGCCAAAATGGAAGTGCAAAGGAGAGAAAAAGTGACCAGAGCCATAATTTAATGTCATTTAAGGATTTTCCATCGTCAATTCGATCTTCCTCAACTAAACAGCACTGAGTTGATGAATCTCATCAATCATTTTTGTAAAAGAATCATCGCCTTTTCCTTTCTCTCTCCTTCCCTGTCATCCATCTCTTTGTTCTTCCCTGGCTTAAATATTTAGAATATTGTATGGTTGTAATTATGCTAGGCCTTCTGTTTCATCATTTCACAATCACCATTGGTGCGCAAATGTTTCTGAGAGTAAACATTACTGAAAATGGAACAACTCTTCCTTTTTTCGAATTCATTAATTGTTAAATGATTGAAATTCGTTATTATAAGCTCAATTGTAGCAATTTATGGATTCAATATTCTCATATACAATCAATTACGTTGCAATTAGCATTAATGCGACAATATAATCCAATATACGCTGTCATCGAATGGTAAATCTTGTGAGTTTGACAAAATTCGATCAATTGGTCCTTAAATTGATGAAATTAATCAGTTTTATAATATCCGTGATTCTTCGAAAGTGATCTAATGCACATGACCTTAGTGGGACGACATATATATATCCGTGGTAATTCGGTCGTTTGATCGTCGTCCACTCCGATGGAATTTCTACTAATTGCCAATGTATATGAGAAACAATAATATTTTATGGGTTTTCTCCAATCATCTCTTCCAGTCATATCCATTCCTTCTGCTTACCATACTCATATCTTTTATGACTTAATTAACCCACCCGACAATATGTCTCCAAGGAAGACTATTGTCATCTAACTCCAAAACACTTTTATTTCCCTATTGCTATTACTTTTGCTATATCTCTTTATCTTAATGTAATGGCAATAATAGTCACTTTACTTATTGTATCATTAATAGCCATTTCTGCTATTATTGTTGATATTGCTGTTGCTTTTAACTGCTAACTGTTAAATGTATGATAATTGATGAATCATAAATGATTCACTATATCTTTTATTGATAATTTTGATTTAATATCATTTTAAATAATTGCTGTTGAAATATTCGTTTTTGATATAATTACATACCTTCAGATTTTATTGTTTCGTAATGAAATCGTACTTTGAATATATTTCTATGAAATTTGACAGATTTCATTCATAACAATGAAATGTGACAAAAAAATTCAACAAAATTCTTTTCAAAACAAAACAAAAAAGAGGAAGAAAATGGACATTCCTCCCACAATAAGTCCTATCTGCGTATCTTAATTTGTTTAACAATTAGCAACGGTAGAATGGAAGTCAATTGTGAAAGGTCAAGCACCCATATCATCCTTTTCTTCACTATTGTATCTTTTTGTTCAGTCTGTAAAAATATGTTTTGGCCGGTTGGAGTCATTATTTTGCTTTACCGCTTCCTCTTGACTGACCACTTCGAGTCGGTTTCTCTTTTCCATCCACTTCTTCATACTTCCACTGAAACAAGAGAAGATCCAAAATGTATATAGATTAGAGCAAATCGGATGATCGATGTCTGTTATGTTCCCTTAGAGGATAATGACTTTATTTCGTCAACTATTCTTCATACATAAATTATGCATAGTCTTATCAGCGTACGATATAATTGATATGATTACTGGAGATGAGAGGAAATGAATGAGCAAGAAATAGTTCAAGTCTTCATGATACCACTTTTGATCTGAATTTAGGTTTAGCTAATTGCTTGGCCATGAAAAGGACGGTTAAAGTGACCATGAAGCGGTAGAATTAAATTTTAAGTTATGTTTAGACCTGGTAGGGAATATTTTCTATTGGTAACAAATTCAAAAACTTTAATTCATTGAATGCTATTCAAAGATTTTGAAATGTGTTATTAGGAAATAAATACAAGTAATAGTGCGTAGTTTTACTGGTCTTTTTTTTTTTTCTTAAATTCTACAACTGATTGCGACAAGCGCTCCAACACTACAATAAATTTATACAAATGTCCATCAACCAGTAACTAACTTATCGGAAGTCTGATCGGATGGTACAAAATTGGAAGTTGTGATTTATCTGCGATAATATTATTAGATGTAAAGTGTAAAGTGTTTTTCTGAAGTGCCTTCTCAAAGGTAAATTGTCGTCCGGACAGGTTCTACTTGATCCATGCCATATGTGGGTGTGATATGTAAACGAAAAAAAGTGTGAGCAAATAACAAAATGGAGGATGAATGTGTATGCTATCAGTGTCTTCCTCAATGTAAATCATTCCGCTTCATTCCATCAAAATGAAAACCTTCTCGTCGTAAAACTTTTTTATCAACAATTTTGAAAATTAAGAATGACCTTTGTACTATGAGGCGGTAGGCTCTGAAATCAGTAAGCAATGTTCACAGGTTAAGGGTTGTGAGTGATAATAGGATGAGATTCTGTTTCATCCGTTCATTCCTTTCGTTAGGTAAGGAAGTTAATCCTGAAGCTTAGATAACCTGTCAGTAACCTATATTGAAAGGTGTATGTCCAATAATATAAATTTAAAAAGTTTATTATCCAATAATATAAATTTAAAAAGAAAAAATTTCAATCATGTCAGCAAATTATTTGTTGTGTTTATCTGTCCATGAACCACATTATTGGAGTATTCAAATACTGGAACTGAAATGTTTAGATTTAAAATTAGGGAATTTAGAGGAAGAGAAGAGAGGAGGAGAATTACATCATTTAGCAACTCTTCATGGATTAATCATGTTAGCGACTGGATAGGAGAGCAGATAAGCAGGAGGGACGACCCAAATAATTTCTCTTGACCACTTTCTATTGTGACATGAGTCAATCTAAGTCAAGCCAAACTACTCGAAAATTCAATGTCATTGGCCATTCTTTTGCTTCACTGAACAAATTTCATCTCATAATTTTTCATATTATTTTTTGGTTTAGTATCATAAGAAGTTACGTAGTTGATATTAGATTGATAAGTGTGTTAACTTAAAGTAGTTGTTCATTCAAAACAGGTATGAACTTTAAACAGGTGCTATACCTCATAATATCGCCATTATAAAGAATATAAATTGTAAAATAGTTTTTGATTTAGCTGGACTAATTATTTCTCGAATTATTTTTCGAAGCTAATTTGTCTCTATTGATAATATTGAATTGACAGCTTTCATGCTACAAACCCAAGATTCGAAATTAAATTAAATTAAATTGAATTTCGGATTTTGGGATTGCAGAATTCTGCAATAAATAATCCATTCCTAACGCGGATAACATGACGAATATTTCGTAGCACAAATTTCTGTACTGTTTTTCTTTAATTAATGATATTTAATCGATTAGATATACATTGTGCACCTTCAAATGTTATCCCAAAAGTTTTGTCATTCTAAATTTATGCAGCATTTTATTCCCTTCTCTTTTTCTGAATGTTTCTCTTACTTTCTCATTCAGACTTTCGAAGTACTGGAAGTATTTTAAGTAATTAATGAAGTTAGAGAAATAACATTCATATACTACTAGCAGGGAATAAAATGCTTATTGGTACTAGACCAGTTGTGGTTTAAATTTTAACCTTAACCTAAATAGAGTTTAACATTTCAGTAGCTATTCATACTTGAAGAAGCAATGATGACACCTGTTCTTTAAGCTGCTTAATGTATTGTTGTAAACATCTTTGTCAGTTAGGATTACAGATGTTTGGGCGCAATGTGTGATGCTACCATTACACGAATATTTTCCGAACTGCGACAGCGATAGTAATAAATTTTGCGCCCCCGTTTCCTTGCCACCTTCTCTGCTCTTATTACCCATCTGTAAGCAATTGGTATCACTTCTTTCCTTACCACTGTTTTATATACTTCACAGCAATGAGTAATTGTGTGACTATTTCAAAACTTTTCTCCCATGATTAAATACTTTAATTAGCCTCTAAAATAATAATTGATTTTCCAAAATTTAAAACTCTGAAAAAGAGAATTGATTGATTAATTTTATTGATATCAACAAGATTTTCAAATCTGTGATAAATGTTATTTCAAAAATATCTTTTTGTCCATGAAAATGTTTTTTGGTTAATTATGAAATTTTTGACTTCACCAATTAAATGATATAACATTGAATATAAGATTTATGGGTTAGATCAATTCAAGTATTAGGTATAAGTAAGTAGGTAATAACTAATAACAGTGTCAACGAATCGTTGAACATTTTTCGATACCGATTATTTCGGCTTCACTGATTCGATTCGGCACACCTAACCAACGGGACTTCTCCCATTCAAGGTCACATTCGTTGCAAAAATTAAGGCATTTCCTGAAATTATGGTTATTAGCAGTTATGACGATGATTTCTTGCATAGAGCATTGGACCGTTACAAAATTATCACCTGTAATTTTCCATAAGCAGGAAGTGATGTATAATAGGAAAGAATAGATTATTGATTGCTTTCAAATCATTGAACCAATTATTGCCTCCTTCGCATATCGAGGATGATTCATGGATAGAAATCGAAATTGTCCAACTTTCCAATTTCACTATTTCTATTTTTGTTTTTTATGAAAGTTCACCTGCCAAAATATCCTTTGGACTAAACATCAGCTTAAAATTGAGACTTTTTCATCTAATCACTGGGAAGCAGAAGTACCAAGCAATACTTTGGACACTTTCTGATCGATTGCATCATATCATAAGTCCCGCCAGAATCCCTGCTTATTATAAGTAATTGGATCCACTCACAACCCGAACGGACATTTGTGGAATTTTTTTCACATACGAAAACATTCCCATTTCATAGGGTAAGAATAACATTATTATTCTTACTGCAATCTATCACCATTTATTCACAATCATCAAAAGCACTTGAAGAAATGCAATCTGCTTCATTCATAATGAGCAAAAGCGCTTGATAGAATGCTTTCTGCATCCCGCGATTTTCCAATGCTTATTAATGACGACAAGAAAAGGAATTATCCGGTAATTCTTCGATTACTTATGCATTAATTTACATGTGTTTTTTTAATTATTTATGCAAAGAATTGAAACTGAGGCCATGTTTTTAAAGAAAATAAAGATTTTGGAATCCATAAAGTACAGTTTCCCGAGTACACTGAGAAAAATACGAAATTAATTGTAAAGTCAATTAACACATTCAAAGAAATTAATTCTTGAAATTAATGAAAGACAAGAAAAGGTTGAAAATCATTTTTAGACAAGAATAAAATGGATGATAGCATTAGAAATGCAGTAAATCTTATATTAGTGCAATATGGATGCATTTTTATTCAATTCAATTCTATAGATAGAAAGTTAATTCCTTTCGTATTTTGAATAAATCAAAATTCTATCAAATTTTTATAATAAACAAATCTAATTTGAATTTCAGCAAAATTTATCGTATTTTGAAAATGAATGAGTGTAATTGGGAATATTTAACATAACATAGGGAACGGTGGATAGAAAGAAAGTAAATGGCCTATTAGGCCAAGGGACTACCCACTGACAGTTAATAATAATAGTGCTGTTTGAGTAAACGACCTCACCATGTATATTCGCATATAATTGTCCCATACCTTAATCAATCATACTTTTCTACCAATTACCGTAATTTATTGCATCGAATAGTCTAGACTAGATATCTACTGCAAACTTGTTTACCTTGAACATATTTAGTGGTAAGACTCGAAAAGTTGTAAAGAAGCGTAAATACTTTATAATACGTTATTGATCAACCACTCAACATTTCATTTCTCTCCGACCTCCCATTGGCAGGAACAAAATGACAAACGTTTAAAGGCCCGATATATTCTAGGCACTGTTTATTTTTACCCTGCAACAATCTTCATGCTGATATAATGATTCATAACTTTATTGTATTTCTTTGCTTCATTCATGCGGAATACCTATATCAACAAAAGTAATTGCTTATTAGTTAATAGTGACTGCGAGAAATTTGGACCCGTGATAGTCGGGTGGTATATTCTGAGACTAAGGTAGAAAAAAGGTAGGATGAAAGGAGGTACTGGATGGGTTTACTGCCTATTCCCACCGTAACTTGTGCCTATTGATGAGAATTTTGAGAATTAATGAGAAGAGAAGAAAAAGAGTAATGAGTACTTCCACCTGTTGCGCAGAACAACATCTGATCGGATTTGTACCTTTTACCTATGGGTAACATTAATTACAGACTTGTACGACAACCATTCATATCTGTCCAAATATTCTTCGTTTGTTCCTCTCTATACAAGTATAGAAGATAGATGGCATTGCCGATATTGTACAAACTTAGAAGGGTTCAAATTTGTTTGAATATGTTGGATACTTTGATATAACTATCTTATAAATATGTAAAGTATTTTCTACACTTTAATCTTAGAAATATATGTGATATTCTCTCAAGACATGTAACAAATTTTCTTTTATTAGTTTATCGGATTTAGGGATTATTGCCATATTTTTAACCTTTTTTTATAACTTTTCTTAACTTTTAAAGGTCAGCAATTATCTTTTAAGCAACTAAAATCTTAACTCTAGTAGAAGTGAATATTATCATAAAAGAAGTTTCGAGCACTTTCAAACAGGGTGTTAGAAGGAAGAAAGAAAAAGGATGATATGAACACTTCATCCCTTAATTATTTTCCACATTGTTGTATGGTCGTCCTTCCATGTCATACCATCTGGCATAAATTATGCATTTTACTCTTCGCTGGTTAGCTATTATGAAGTGTGAAATTTAAGTCGAAAATTGATTCATGAGAAAGCCAAGATGGTAAATTACTTTTCAAAGTCATAAAGGGTGATGAAATGTATCACTCTGACATGCAGATAGATCAGTGCAATCATTCTGTCACAATTTCTTCCGTCTCCCCCAAATGGTAATTTTAGATGATCGTATTTTGCAACCTTTCTCATCACTATTACTGAGAGCTATCATTTTAAAACTTGCTATCGCTATTACTGTTCAGATCTTATCATTGTGGTCACAATTACTATCAATTTTGTGATTATTCACTATCAGTGCAATTCTTAGTTATAATAGATTCTTTCTCCTTCAATTTAAATTCTTAACAGTTAAATCAATGAAACTCTTTCAATTGGTAACGATTTTAATTACAATAAAATCACCTTTAGTGAGGACAATAAGTGTAAAAAGACATCCAGTGGTCATCACTGCATATTTTCAGCTATTAAGTGGTCATCATTGCATATTTTCAGCTATTATTTTCAACTATTATTTTGTGGTCATCACTGCATACATTATTTTCAGCTATTAAGCTTCCTTTCACTTAATGGATAACATTGATAGTCATAGTATTATTACCCTACACAATAACCTTTCAATTTCGATTTGGGGATACGATATTCAAATCAGCCAACTTTGCCTGGAAAGGTCAGAGGTACCGTTTGTTGTTGTTTATATTAGTTATTAAATGCATGAAAGAATGTAAAAAATTCTATCTTTTTCATTTATTCCCATCTTTTAAGGTAACATTTTATACCTACCATACCTGTAATAATCTACCCAAGGATTTCTGTCTACAAATAGTTGTTATTTAAGATCATTTAGTATTGCTCATTTTATGGTCACTCTAGGAGATTTTTGTATTGTCTAAGATATCCTGAAGACAGCATATATTTGTTAATTATATATCGAATTCATCGTGATTATACATATATATAAAACGATGCAATAAAATTGGGGTAATTCTTGTTAGCATATTTATGAACAGTTTATAGCTGACCTTGTGAACTGTAATTGGGCGCTTCTGTTTTTATGATAATTAGACGAGTGTCGTATTCCGTACTCCTTAACCAGCTCTCCCTTCTTCCCTTTCCCTTTGTCGGATTATTTTTTGTGGACTTTCATGGTTCATTGCTTTTCATGAGCTTTATCAGGAAAGATTATATCTCACAATATTGTCAAGAAACATTATTTTTCACGCAGCTTATATGGATCCATAAAAGATCTTTCCCATTCCTTATAGAAAATGACATATGACCTTTGAACTTCTATTAGGGATGACATTTGATGACCTCTCTCTCATAACTGGATTAAGGTTATTTCTTGCTATTCTGTTGGAAAAAATCTTCCCACTTATCACCACTTAAAAATCATTAAAATGAATAAATCGTGCAATATACTATTTAAGAAGACCGTCTGTCGAGAAATGATTCTCATCCCCGATATATCTCGCGATATCTTTTCAGAATATAGCATCCTGAAAGTACACCTATCTCCCTTTTCGACTACTCGCATAAATTGCTAATTTTGGAGCGTTTTCCAAATCTTCCGTGAGGAATAACATTTTCCACTCTGTTCCGCATCTCTCTGAGTTTTCATAAGCATACGCTAAGCTTTTGTCGACTGAATTCCTTGTCCTGAAAATTGCGACTATGCTAAATTCGAAATTCAATCTGCAATTAAAATTACCATCTATGATTGATGGAAGAACGATGAAAAAATTAAATTTGATGTAAAATTAGCACAATTTATCGTTTCGCCAATTATTGACTTTTCAAGTGTGTAATTAAACTAGATTTGATTAAGGAATTACCACCTTTTTTTTTTTCATGACGATTTGACATTCAAAGAGAGTAGTAACAAGTGAAATTGGTAGTGCCGATGAGTACTGTAATAGGACAAAACTAGTTATCTTCAGTCATCTAATGCTATTTATTTTATCAAAAAGAAATCAAAATTTTTATTTTGTGTTTAAATGTTAAAAGTTACAGGATAAATCATTCAAATTATCCATTTTTCATTTAAATCTTTTTAAATTTTTAAATTTAAATCTTGTTAAACAAGAATCTGATTGATGAGCTTCAATAATGCTACGATAATTGAGGTCTAAGATGTAAAAGCTCAGTCCTTGCAGCAGGTTTCTTCATTTCCTGTTTAAGCGAACTTTGTTCATGTAATTTTCCATTAGATCCCATCAGGGATTACTGTCGCCAAAGATATCCGCAAAATCAGCCAGGCCTAATTCAATCAGTTAATAAGCAAACTACACAGTATCTACAGTGGCGCTATTATTTTTCTTTTTAGTACGAATGGAACTTGAGGAAGCTTAAATCGTTGCAAAAATACAAAGAAGCATAGAGTGAATGGTGACAGAATTTCCCAAATTACTAGAAGGATTTGGTGCGGAACTGAGTCCCTAACTGTCAACAGCTGTCAAACAGTGATATTTTTTAGGGTCTTTATGAAATGGCTCATTCCGATCTTCCAGTCCTATGCTTATGAAATATGTAGTACCATACAATAGCTACACCAAATTTACACATATTATTGAAACAAAAACGAAACATCTGCTTCTGTTAATATATGATTTTTCCCTATTCTATTCTATTCTGTAATGCCCCATTCTATTCCAATTCTGTTCCCCATATTGAATATTTTATTATGCTCCGCAATCCTATCGGTTCGATTTTATTCAATTCAGTTCCATCTATTCCAATTTATATCAAGCTATTCAATTCAGTTCCATCCTGTTCTAGTTGTATCATAAGCTGTTCTATTCAGTTCCAATTCTCACTTAACTCCACGCTTGCTTAACAGATAATTCTTTTTGAGATTTGGCTAATTCCTGACTAATTGTTCACCTGGAAATATTCTATTGTTTGTATATTTTACCTCATTATTGGATAGATGCTGTTTCACCTCATTCGATGTCCCTTTGTGACATTTGTAATTTGAATGATTGACAGGTATCTCTGAAGGGAATCCTGTAAATTGATATTCTCATTGCTCACATTCATTGTTATTGCTTTAGCTCTAACATTAATATTTCATTGCTGTTTAATTTGAATTATTTGTCTAATGAAATTAAAAATATTACTTATATTCTGCTAAATTTTCTCGTTCGCTTATTTACCGAGCATTTTTCATATATATTTTTCGTGGACATTAGCATAGCTACAAAGATATAATAAAATGACATAAAATTTATTCATTTAAAGCAACCATTGTTTCCTTCTTAATCATTAACTATCTCTATGAAATAACTACTCCGCTCACATTGTCTCTAATTATTAATTATGAATTATTTATTGTCCGACTAATTAACCAACTATTACCGCTATCACTTCCATATGTATTAATGTTTCCATACCGCAATTTACTACTCCTTTGGGTTTCCTGACCAAAACCTGCAGTCCATCTCCTCCATCCTTCTTCGCATGAATAATACATGGCAATATCATGACCAACTGCTGCTCTGCTCTACCTTAGTCTGTCTCAGAACATTCACCATTTTTCAACATTTTGGGATATTCTGCAAACTGATATTATACGTAGTACTGACAGTTAAAGTTCTTTTTCCCCCCAACAGCGATATGAGACTTCTCGGGTATCGCAGAACTACTTTTCGATGATAGTAGCAAGGCGGTAGTTCATTGGAATTTTTTAGTATTATTTTCCGTTATTTATGCGTATGTAATCTCCTTTAAATATTATACTAATTTAATGTCGAAAGTAATAGATTATGTATACTTTGAAAGCATGAATAGAATTCATAAAATAATTAATCGTTAAATTTACTTATTCTGTTTGATTTTGAAGTAATAATACTTGAAAAGAAATAGCAAAATCTTGAAATTTAAACTAAAAAAAAGAAACAAAACCATAATTTCTTCTAATGGAAAAATGAAAATTGACGTTTGTCAGTCTGTTAACGATGCTATTTGTTCATATATGTTAAGTAATGTTATACATAAAAATTAGTTCAATATAATGTTTGGATAAGGAAATTTTGCATAATTTCATTGTTAAGCTTTTTCAAAAAAGCAAAAAGATTTTTGTTAATGCAAAGAATAACAAAGTATCGGCCGTTATTCTTTCTTCATGAATTGTTCATTGAAAAAAAATTTTTTTTTTAAAGCATAAAGGACAATAAAGAACCAAAGTAGGCTAAGAAGTGAGGCCATACTTTACTGCATCCCAACTAAAAGAATTAACTCTTTCAGTCCTCCTTTTGTTCAAGCTTTTATTGAATCACCATCACTATTTCAACAACCTTTCAATTAAGATTCAATTTGAAAAGGCTCTAGGGAACGTTACTTCCCAAACGTAAAGAAGGAATTGAGCAAATATCTTTACAAGACTACATTCTGGATGAGCACCGAATATACTTTTTGCGCCTAGTTTCTTAATCAATGGACTTTATGTCAAAGTTTTTGATCCTTTCTGCAAACTTTTGCCGCTTTAATTATATCCTTATATCGAAGACAAATAAAGGAAATTAGCATAAAACATGCATAATTCTTAATTACGGAAAGTTGCTTTTCCACATGAAGCAATTGTTTGATTCGTATTTTTCAAGTTTGATGGAACGGATCAGTAAAACGGAAGCTAGCATGGACTGGAATCGAAATTCTTTATATTTTAAGAATTGGCTAAGATGATGCTGAAAGGCTTCAAGTACCATTTTGGATAGCACTTCTATCTAGTCTACTTGAGATATTAGCATGTCTTATGTAGTGAAGGGATAACCTTATGACAGATGTTAACAACGAAATAGTACCCTCGAAAATTGGTCCAATAGGCTTGCTTACATAGCCTGATATATACATCACACCACGGTATGTTTAGTTTAGTTTATTGCACTCTTTTTTTTTCCATCTTTAGTATCAGTTCTGTTTTTATTTTCATTTCTTTATCAAATATTATTAACTAAATGATTAATCTAATGATGGGATATTTATAACCATGGTCATTTAGATTTTATTTTTCAAATTAAAATTTCAAATTTAAAATTTGAAAATCATTGGACCTATTAGTATTATTGAAAATGTAATTCGAATGTTATAATCTGTCACACATTCTATCATTTTTTTTTTTTCGCTTTTTTTTTCTGTACTATACATTCAAGTCACTGACTATTGAAATTTGTAGCAAACCAACAAGAAACTTATCATAGAATTAGTTTAGAATGGATCGGTTGTGCTTAACAATTTTCGAATTCCATCGTCAAACTTTATAGTTTCTTGTTACTTTCCTTTTATTAACAAAAAAATCTTTTATATTTAACACTTCATTTCAACAATGCGTCATTCTAACCAAAAAAATGAAATGTATTTTTGGTATTGCCATAAGCTTACATGCACTTTTACCGCTCGATAAGAGTGCTTGTTAAGCATTTCATGATTGCTACCTCTTTGGTCTCTTCTCATTCGACACAAAAATTCCTTCTAACTCTTCCTCACTTACTTTTTTAATTCAATTCATTGTGTCATTTAGCCACCGCTTTTTCATATTTTCTAAATTTGGGTACAACAAGGAGTAGGACGAGCAAAACGACGGGAAAATTGCAGTGATTGCTAACAACTGATTGTGATGTCACCGTATCTCTCCGTGTCCTCACTAATTGTGGTAGATATGTCACAGAACTTTCAAATGTTTCCTTACATTTTCATCCCGTTGACTGGTGAGTAATTATGATGTTTGATATAGAACTGCATTGCACTATACAACTACATGCTTGCATTCATTTGAACCTGCTGTTATGCATTCAGTGCATATTCTATAAGAGAATGTAAACTTTCGTAAAACTTAACCTTCAAAGTATAAGTTATGTGGATTTTTTAATACATGAGCAAACGCTTAAAAAGTGACAATATTACTTTTGACAATTAAATTCATTTTTATATTATTCATTAAGAGGAAATCTTTGAACCAATTAACTTTTTTTTATCACCATTAATTTCATTCTACCATTACACAAAAGTTGCAAAATCGTTCGTTTTTTCTTTCTATCAATTACATTTGAATGCAAAATATAATTGTGTATTTTCCATCCTTTAATTACTTTTTTTCCTTTTTTGTTGTCACTTTTCAATTTAAATTTTCCAAGTTTCAATTATTTTTACGCATATTTAGTTGCAACGAAATATATATATTTTAAAAGTTGCCTGCATTACACTTGTCATTGCAAGAGACCATTTTTAAGTAAATTTTGAGCCTAGGCTTGATGAAAACTTTTTTCTTCTCACGTAAATATTTAACAGCCTATGAAATGACTTTTCGTGTGACATATCTGTTTAATATGCGAAATGGGCGTATGATTCGATTGTAAGAAAGAAAATACATTCTCAGTGACAAATGCATGATGCATCCATTGTCCAGGTTAACTGATGATACATCTTGCGTCTGTCTTCATTAATGTTGATTTAAGCTTCGGTCCACAGTCAATTACCACGTTAAATTTAAGTAATATAGAATTTGAAATAATTAACTGCTCAGCTGAGCATTTTATAAGGCCAAATACATGCCAAGAAATCAATAACTACTGTTAATATTATTCCAACAACTCAGTACCCGGAAATATCATGTTGGAATTCTCATTCCCAACATTACTTTATTTCCGAATAGCTTACTTAAAACATTACCATTAGTATCATTTCTGATATTCGAATCAATCCACAACAAACATATGTACGTGGAAATTTCAGCATCAGTCCTCCTCTCCGGCCTGAAATGGCCACTCTGTAAAGCTGTGATTTATCAAATGATAGAAGTTGCTGATGCTTGCATCTGTGTTGTCGGAAATACCACAAAATGATTTATTTTAACAAGAAAGAAAATAATTCCGTTTGAAATTGAATTCCCAAGTGATCGACCAGAAAAAACTGACTAATAGCCTTTGGAGTTCTACACAAATAGCAACTAACGAACAACTTCTGTTTCTTACTGCTTATCTTTGCTAATGCAAAAGGCTTCATTCCGTAGCAAGTTGGATCTAATATAGGCTAATTCATACAAATTCATTTATCTGTCCACATTATTTTATATAGGATGGTAACCTGCACAAAATTAATAACCAATCTTGATCATAATTAAGAAAATTAACAGCTAATCTACTACCAATACTTTTACCAATAAACTTTAAACAAGTAAATATGAATACCGGATATTAAGAATTTAGTACAGGAGGACAAAAGAGTGAATAACACATTTTACGGACAATGTTTGGGAATAACGCATTTTACGTAAATTATGAGTAATCTTTGCTATCTGTTCCTCAGAGGTGAGGAAGAAGGCTTTTCAGTTTTGTCCTCAAATTTGGCAAATATATAACGATGCAATAGAAACGTTCCTAAGCTTAAAATCATCAGCTTATTTTGTTTCTGGATTGTATTATTCACTAAACTTTGGATGGGACAAGAAAACATGATAAGCTTAATCCTGAAACGGGCCTAAACATCAAGCAAAACTATTGCTGATTGAATTCACCAATCTTACAATCGGATTTCGTTTCCACTCCTTCCCTCAGACTTCCCTCAATGGTTCTGAATCTTAGCCTATCCTATCTTCATTCAAAACGGTTCATTAACTTTCTCCTATTACCCGTTGTCCCCATCACTAGTCGTTTAGCCATTGGACTACTATTAATAATACATTCCTACTACTATGAAATTACTGGCACAGACACCCAGAGCAATCTGTCCTGAAATTTGGCTGTCTCTTTGTCATCATCAGCTGTTTTGGCTGGCTTTTCAGTATCTTTTTGAGCCAAAAGATGGACACTTTTATTTTTTTTAAACGAAAAAAAATTTCGAATGCGTGAATAGATTCAACAGAAAAGGAAGACAAATAAGTAAATGCTAATTGAAAGGATAAGGCAAATATCGTTAATAAGAGTTAGACTAATTTAATCATGATTTTTCGAATTGGATTTTGGAAATTTTTTTGCAATGTACATTTTATGGAAGTAGGAAGTAAAGGAAGGATTTTACTCTTTATCTAAAAAGCCTAATGATGGATGAGTTAATCGCATGAATAAATTTTGTAAGAAATCTGTTATGGTTGGCGAGACGTATCAAATTTAATTTAAATCAAAAAAGAAGTTAAATTTCAATTGATGATTAATTATTTGTTCACCTATTTACTTTCGATATTTTTGCCTTTTTGAAATGAAGTAATAAAACTTTTTAGAGTTAAAACTATCGCTGACTTTGTATATAACTATATTAGCTGAATTAACAACGTATGAATTTATATTCGCTATACAGCAAGCGTGTATTTATGTATTGTTTAACTGATAAGGATGATAAAAGTATTGTAATTTAGCTATTGCAGTAGTATCAGGATGTTTGCTGTTGTTTTATGATGGGATGTGAATGCGTATCACCGCCACCGGAATTTGATATTCCACCACCACCGGATCCTACATTGATTTGGCATTTGCTTTCTGATGAACTTGCTGATGAACTTACACAGGTTTTTTATTCCATTTTTTAATGCTGTCAACCATATAAGAAAGCAATAGCATAGAGCGAATTTTCTTCCTTTAAATCAGTTAGTTTTAAAATTTTGACGAAATTATTGTATATTCATTAATTAAAGGTAATAAACAACCTCAGATTGCTAACAATTATGAATACTGCCTCAATGTGATGCCTGTGATATTTATCATGACGGTATCAAATAGAAGGCATTTCTTAGTCTTCAAATGTTTTCTGGTATTTCTTGAATAACCAGAAAGAAACCACTTTGCTTTTTTTAATCAAAATTACATAAAATGAAATCATAAGGCTGGGAAAGGTTTTTTTTGGTGTGGAGAAAAGGTATATATCGCTAGTGGGCGAGAAAAATGATTAGAGTGATTATGTAAATTGACATCTGCATATTTTTTAGCCTAATTTGTATGTAAATTATAAATAGAGTTAATGAGAAAGTATATTACCAAATTTGATCGTCAACATTAAGGTGACAATAACAGGTATGTAAGAGGCGTCAATATGTCAAAGGAATTCATAATTTCAATGATAAGAGTAAAATAAATGAGTAATAAAAGAAAAGGGTTAAGGGTTGAATGAAATGCGGATCATTTTCAGATTCAGCAATGTGACGCGGATCAAAAAGCAACATCTCATGACGAAGTATCTTTTGTATTTTCCAGTCTACCTGATTACCTTTTATATGCCTTACTTGCATCCGGTGCGCTAATTTCTGCTGCCTTATTAGTCGTCATTATATTCATCCAAATACGAAGGTTTGCTAATTTCAACATTATTTATGAAATTTATGGAAAAAAAATTTACAAAAATTTATGAAAACGAAAAGTTTTATGAAAATTTTTATAAAAAAAAAAGACTACGAAAACTATGTACGGAAAAGATTTTCTAATAATTATTGGTAAGTAAGGTTGGCTATAATATCGCAATTAAAAATCGCCGATACATTTTTGGCTTATATCATAAAAACGATTGATTTGAGTGGTAGTTTAGAAATACAGGTAATATGGTGTCTGGCTTTGGCCTTATTACCATCATTCGTCTTAATTTGCATCCCGTCAAGTACCAAATTTGGTCAGTTAGTGGAAAGCGATTCATTACCACCCGCCTGCCATATCAATAAATCACATTTGCATGCTCCCGTGTGTTATTGTTGTTTGGGTTATCCATACATTCTACCCGCACCAATCCATATGTTTCTCCATTTATGGGAATGATAAATGATGGATGTATTATCGAGAAGAGGATTCATTTATCATCCACTGACCATCACCAGTTCTTCCAAACCATAATGTAATAAATGGCGGTCACTTATCAGTACAATATATTTTGTCTGTCACACATTAATAATGTGGCTCATTAAAGGTTAATGGCACTTTGTTTTTTTGTTGTTGTTGAAAAATCAAGAAGAATCAAAGAACTGAAAATTTTCAAACAATTTTAGTCTTTCAAATTTGTTAAACTTTCAACACATCGCAATGAATCAATCAGTTTCATTAGCTTGTTGACAGTGTTACATCGAGTTTCATAAATGCATAATTGTTTAAATAATCAATAAGCTCCTCTTCCAAAATGCAATTGAAATGCCTAGCGGAAGTGTCTGAGCGCATCTGTTCCATTTCTCCTATGCACCATTTTCCATTGCTCAATTAATGTCGTTGACATAGCAATTCGTATAAATCTGTGAAAAATGTTATAGCAATCAAATTTAAAGAAAAATCTTCCTTTAAGAAATGAATATCGAAGTTTAGGCGTATTGCTAATGAGATGACCTTTGATCTGCACGGCGGAACAAAACACATTTGCGATAATTTATCTATTTTAGTAATTTTAAAAGTATTCTATAAGAGATTTATACGAATATTTACGATATTCTATTTTACAGTATTCTTACTACCTACTCCGCTATACTTTCTCAACTCTGAGCTATTCTACAATCTGGTCTAGTCTTCCCTCTTTTGTTCTTTTCTTAGTTGGCAATTCGTTTAACGATGGGATGAATCATTCAGAGAATCCATTAATTACTCGCATGCATACCTTTTGCTTCTTAATTAGCTTATTTTGATAAGCTGTAATTGCTGTTGGAAAATTTTAGCATGCAGTGTGCATTCAATGAATTTTATTGCTGAATGATGAAAATGCATTTTATCTTGCATTTTGTGCAGTTCTAAGGAAGGAGATGTTGATAATTCAGATATGGCCAATTTCTCTTTTACCCCAAATCTCTCCTGAAATGTCTATTTGAATTACAGCGTGTTTGTCAGTTTGGCACATTCAGAGAACAAAGTGATAATCCAATTTCTTTCATTTCCTTACCGATTGATTCATTATTAGAAAACAAAAGAACATTCTCACCAACCCATAAATTGGCCTTGAGAAGACTATCTCCGAACTTTTTGTTTGAAAATTTGAAAATTATTTCAGATTCTTTTCCATCTTGCCGATGAATGAGTCATAAATTCCTAAATGCGGATGAAAGACGGAAAAAATCTCGCGTCAGAGATTTGATAATGAAATAGGTTGTAATGGTAATTTACGGTGACAAGATGACAGTGGTGAAGCAAAATAGATAACGAAAATTCCGGATGGACTACATCATTAAATTTATAAAAGAAACAGGAATCATTTGACCTTCATTTTCCAGGTTTAACCGGAAAGAGCGAACAAAAATGAAACGAAAACCGGGATTCTCAGCAGACACTGTGTTGAGTAATGGCGATTGGCCCTATACCACAACGGTCCAAGACAGCGATTCAGTTATAAATGGTGATTTGTTATACGGGTCCACTGAGAATAATTTTATGAAGCATAAAGCTGTTCGGGTCACTCCAAATTCGTTGAGGTTAATCTTTGGAAGACCGACTTCATAATCCATTGTTTTTTTTTTTCTCTCTGAATGCGAATATCTGGATTTCATCACACTTTTCCATCGCATAATTTGCAAAAAATTTCAAAGCTTCAAAAATCTTGCTTATTCTTCTTGCGATGAATAAATCCTTTCAGTTTAATTAAAGTCCGATAGAACTGACCATCTTTATAACTGGGAATTTTTCATAGGAGTTACTCATATCGTCCTAATAAGTTGTTAATAAATCCGATGAGAAATTCACCGCTACAATCTGCAACAACATTTCGACTTCATGGATCTTCGGACGGTTACTGCACCGTTGGGCGATTATATGAAGAAATTCCGGGAAATGGAGTTTTCAGTGCCGTACACCCTGGAAATTCCATAGCATATGCATCGAGACGAGAAGTATGAACTTTTGACCTTGATTATATTTGTTTCCAAATGGTATGCAAAGAATTTATTATGGGATTGTATTTGTTTCAAAAGTTTGTTAACTTTTGCTAATTTGACAAACCATCAAATAATTCGAAAAGATCGCAAAATTTTACAAAATGAATAAAGTTGGGAACTCGATCTTTTTCTCCAGTTTCATTTTGACTTGTTTTAATTCATTTTTAGTTACTTTATGGTATATCATCAGTGCGAAGGCCGCCACCGACATGTCGTCCACCTCCACCACCCTCCCAGGATTCTCCACTTAGTCTGGATTCATCCGGGAACTCAATGGAAAGGGAACATGATGTAATGTGTACCGCTCCATCGCCGAAACGGTAAAATTTCCCACACTTGATTTTTTTTGGTGGCCAAATGACTCTGATAACAGCGCTGTTACTAGCTCATTAATATCTCTTACAAAACTTCCTTTTACTTATTTTTTACTTCCACGATATAAAGAAATGAAAGATCACAGATGCAAAGAGACTATTCACAAATAATGAAGCATAAAAAGAAAAATTATGCGATATCCAAATTCAATGATCCGTTGAAAAAAAAAATTTCTGTAAAGTGGTAGTTTGAAATCTTCCGCAACATCTTATAAACATTGTAAAAATTCAGAAGCTTAGAAACAAGCGGAATCGTGAATTGATGACGAAATAATTGCGATTTACACTGACCATTCCTTGGCTGGCAATAAGGATGATATGAGCTTAAATAAATGAGCAAAATAAGCCAAGTGTTATTTCAAAGAGAAAAAGCAAATTAATGCTGCATTTTGCATTTTACAAACTTTATTAAATCATAACTATACTTTATTCTATAATGGAAGTGGTAAAAGACAATTGATTTTCTGCAAATTTGCAATGTAAAACTTCTAGTATTTTGATAAATTACTGAGATATTGCAACCAAATGGTGACAAATTTTGAAAAAATTCGCAAAATATTGCAAGTTTTGTAATGCAAAATTACAGAGAATTAGTTATGTTGTGTCATTTTCAATTGTGAGATGTGTGACTTTGAATTAATAAGTTTTTTATTTCTATTTTTATGAATGTAAGATGTGAGAGAGTTTTTGTTTCCAAGAAAATTAATTAAAAATGTAATTTTATTGCTTGTTGTTGATGATAGGATGCAAATTTCAGTTCTACCGATGATGAAAAATCTCGGAATTCCGGTAATTCAGCTGATAATGGGCATGAAAGTGGCTATGGTACTGCACCGAATAGATCGTGGAACAGTCCGATGATTAGGCATCAACGGTACCGATATATTTTAATGAATTCATTGAAGCATTGTCTCAAATGATAGGAGAAGTTAGTTCTCAAAGAGCAAAGGAAATTCAGGAAGGAGACAAAGTCAATTCTAATTGTAATTTAACTCGTTTTCATTGGTTAGATTAAATCTGAATGTTATAACTTTTCAGAATCTCAATGAGGGAATCAGAAGATGCATTTCGTCGCCAAGCGCCGTTAACTGTTTATGCTCATCGTAATAATGCTCATCCAATGACTTATGTTTAATTTGTTTATACTAATGCTTGTTGTTCGTGTCATATTTTTAGTCATTTATTTCTTGTTTCAATTTCAGAATTTGATAATTAACTAGAAGAAATGAAAGATATCGAAACTACTTCCTTTGCATTTATTTGGTCTTAATCAATGTCTTTTTTTTTACAAAAATTTCGAAATTCTATTGAAGAAAGTTACAATTAGTAAATAAGCGAATTTTTTTTTTTTTTTTCAAAGCAATTCTGTTTATAATCCAATGTACGATTTTGTTGTGAGTTATGAAACGTCGATTGTTAAAATACATACCTTACAATGGTTCTCAGTAATTTCATCAGAACAGTTATCTCGTTCATCTCAATCACAATAAGATCTTATTATAAAAGAAGAAAATGTAATCACTCAAACTCAACATGAAATAATTTCGAACTCTTTCATGAAGCCATAAATTGTCCAGAATGGAACACAAAGTAACGTTTATTGTTTAATAGCAGGTGGTGGAGACTATTTAGAGTACGAATTAAATTAACTGAGACACTTCAGACTCGTTCAAAGACATCAGATCGAAAAGCTAAAAGTAAATAAAGGATGTGTCAGTTATTAAGCAATACTGCAATGAATGACAATCACCTGTGACACGTGTCAGTCTCCTCATACTGTATACTGTGAGTATGTCATTGAAGTAATGGAACAAATCGTTACAGTAATTGTCGGGATAAGTATGAACAATAGTAAACAGGCAAATGATTAAACTATTTTTTTGATGAATATTCGCATGAAGTCAAAAACTGAAGTGAATGTAAGAGATGGACATTTTAGCCTGCAGTATTTTAAATCTTAATCTTAGTTCAAAAGCATCAAATAAGGAACTATATGAAGAACCCATTAGACAATAATATTATGATAACCATAAATCATTTTACATGTGATATCATTATAGTGATCCATTGAATGACAAATGTTTTAAATCAAGATTTCCTTCGGGATATTACAAATGTCTTTTAGTTTTTGATTTTGCAAATGAGTGTTTGGACAGTTAAGTAGTAATAATATTTCTTGTTACTTTATACATCAGTTTGTTACTTATCTTCAAAAGAGAATCTGATATCATAGAATACTGTGTCCTCTATGCGTCATCATAACTATAATGCTGATATGCTTAAAGTAAGGTAAGATTAACAACTAAAGTAAAACGTATAGATTTGAGCAAACGAACTTTCAATCTATTGATTTTTAGTAAATACACGTTAATGGGCAAGGTGAGTCGGATAATTAGCGCTGGAACCAAACATTTCGGGTCTAGGATATAATTGTGCCTGTGGGAGGTCTATTATTTTTAGGTCAATATTTCGTTGTCATAACCGGATATTTACAGTTAATTTATATCTTTGGAAATTTCAAAATCCGTTAGCATTTTTCCCTCTCAAGTTTGAAATGTGAAGCAAGAAAACTTTTGTATTTACATTTCTGGAGCAATTTTAACTCCGGTTATTGAAAGTCTGATATGAAAGGAATTGGTCTTCTACTTTCTTCCTTAAAATATGCATAATCAGGAATTTATGTTAGCAGAAGTGATTGTAATTGAAATTAGCGCTCTTCCTTGTGTGATGACTTTTACTATGCTTACTTTTAAAAGGTGAAAAGATCCTTGGAATAATTCAACTTCCATTACAATAACATTCCCATTTGACAGATAGCAAAGAAGAGTATGACAAGATTAGAAAACTGAATAAAAATCTTATCATCTAAATCAGTTATTCGTTCTATTTTTAAGAGTAACAAATATTGTTCATTTCTGTATAAATTTCATTCCCTTTTTATTTCTCTTCTCAGATATCTTAAAATCATTCAACAATAACTTCACTGATTTATGACTGACCGAAAACGAGCTCTCATGGGATGAAATTTGGTTCATGTGGACATGGACATCGAATTTTGCTTCTATTCAATTATTGACCAATCGATGAAACTTAAGAATACCAAGGATGATCCGATTTTAAGATCTATAACGATTGATGTTATTGGGTGCACAAGACATTTCCACTTAATACGGTGATGGTAAAATACGAACAGTAGATGTTGAGGAACGCCCTATTTGAACCCCAATACTCTTGCCATCAAAAATGAAAGAACTGCATGGCATCTCTGACAATTCAATTAAATATTTTTGAGTATTATTCAATTTCACAGTAAAACATTAAGCCTACTTTGATTCAGAACCAGATTTGACTTATAATGTTGCCATATATATATCGATACCTGACATCTGTCTTCTAAACAATGATAGCAGACAATGATCGATTTGCATCTCCCGGGAATGCAGACGGAGGAAATCAACCTTATGGAAATCCAGTTAGTACACAACGCGACATTACATGCATTCATTTGCAGTGATTTGTCATCAAGATTGTGAAACATTGCTAATCTTCATTACAACTTGACGAAATGTGATGTCTACTCCTATTACAGAAACATTTCATCATTTGGAAATGTTTTGAAATACCATAAGCTTCCTCTCCTTTTTCTTCCTCTTCAAAAAAAGCATTCTGATAACCTGTAAGTATTTCGTCCAAAATATTTCCCATCCGAAAAAAGCTCCTCACAATTAATCGTCTATACTGTTAAATACCAACAAGCTGATGCATTGATTGATCTTATTTGTTGATAAATTAGCATTGATATCTCATATAATGAACTATTAGCCACTTTCAATAAGAAATCCCCGTTATTGGAGGGAAAAAATTGAATGATCAATGCTTACTGCGTGATAGCATCATGTTATATGCGAAGAGAAATAAGCAAAAACAATGAATTAACATTTAGTTCTCACTTCCTTATATTCTCACATTTGCTTCAATGATATTTCTTTTAATTGCCTTATGATTACTTTTATACCGAATTCTAAAATGTCACATACCGTGCCATAAAATGTCACATGTCACTTATACTAATAAATATATGCTATGTGATTCCCGAACGAACAATCGCTTGCATCACAATAGCATTCCACTGTTACTTTATCGTTTGTGTTTAGAACAAAAAGAATAACTGATGCCAGAAAATTGCGGGGATATTGGGACGGATTCATAAACTGAGTCTGTCTTCTTAAACTGACGTAATTCTAGCGTAATTCTGTACCGCAATTCACTGCTTTTTGTACTGCACAAAACACCGAATCAGCGCTATACTTATCACCAAAGGAACAGGATACTTCATGCCAGCGATGGATGTAAATCAAATTAGCCGACTAGTCGTTCCATTTAACTCATCTCGCTAATTAGACCATTAGTGAATGAGTCTCACATCCTACGGAAAACAGAATCCATTATAAAATCAAAGTAATAGAACGCCGATGAGGGTTGCATTTTCAAGAACAAAATATGTAAAATCTATTTGACAAGAAAGTCCTTTATCATTTTTATATCAGAATTTGAAATGAATACAAGTAACGTACATTGAAGATTTCTTTT